CCATTTTTCAAAACCGCAAAAAAAACGACAACAAACTCTTAAAATCTTGTAAAGGCCCGTATCAAGCCCCGGTAAAGAAAAAAAGCCTGCAGTTACAAGCTATGTAAGACCGAAACATGAAACACCTAAGCCCTTGCCCGAAACCCTACACCCCCAAACCGTACACCGGCTACAATTTCTCAAGCAACCCTAAACCCTAAGCCCTAAACCGGGGCCACCTGGACTTAGATCGCAAGATGCGCGTCACCGCTGCATCCAGATACCTTGGGCCCCGGTGGTAAAGGGGATCGCGGGGCTTCAGGGCTTGAATAGGGGAACCTGATTAAGAAACCTTGGGTATCTACTAGGGTTCCTTATCTGAATCCAAATATATTGGGGTTATAGGGGCCAGGGTTTCTTAATCAGGTTCTTACATTAGTGTTTGTGGAGGGGATTAGGGCTAAAGGTTTTAGGTTGCGGGCTTTAGGGTTTTGAGGGTTTGGGGTTATTGTTTAGGGTTTAGAATTTCGGGGTTGAAGGTCAGGCAATTATGGTTGAAACAGCGCGCACCAGCGGATTGAAACAATCAGCACAAAGGTACTATTTCAAGCTCTTTTCAGAGACCACAGAAATCACAGCGAACCTGAAATCAGAGATAGCATCATCATCATCATTATCATCATCAGCATCAGCATCAGCATCATCATCATCATCATCAGCATCATCACCATACAATGATCATGCAAACCAGAATCGAAATTGCGCTGCTAGTCTGGCGCATATGAACAACTTAAAAATAGTTTCAAGTCAAGCAGCACCAACACTCGTCAAAACCGCGCGCATACACGCCAATGATACAAGCAGCCCGAAAACCACAGACCCGAATCCTAAACCCCAAACTCCAAAACCTACAACCTAAACCTGTATACCCTGTAAGCCCAATCTACACAAGCTGTTTCAGAATGCGAAGAACCCATAAAAACCCATGAAGCCACAAGCAAGCCCCAAGCCCAGGAGCTGTTTCGTCTCGCAGCTTTCTTGGGCATCGGAACACAGCTGGGCCTGATCCCATATGGGCAGTTCTCTACACTAGGGTTTAGGGTTTAGGGTTTAGGGGCGGGTCCCGTTCTAAGTCCCCCAAATAGTGCGGCACCCATATAAAAAAGGGATCCCAAAAGGGACCCTTATTTAGAGAACTAACCAATATCCCTAAGTTGAAACTATGGGCCCCTAGCATGTGCCATTAACCCTGGGATCCTAATATACTAATATACCTACGATGTACCCTTAAAACCAGGAAAAGGCCTAAGGCCTAAGGGGCCATATTAGAAGCGATTACTTCTAAGCTTCGAAAAAGGGGGTGTGAATGGACAGGACAAGCATCCGTTAAGGGTTCCGTAAAGAAGCCCGACGAGGTCTTAGTGGGTTCCCCACAGACTCTCAAAATCCTTCATGAAGGAATATAGTTTAAAACATGATATGGATCCCCCTATGAGTTACGGTGTATTCATTCAGTTCCTGGGCATAACTACTAGTTACTATAATGGTTCAATATAAGGGCATGGATAAATTACAGTAGGGTTGAGAGCGTAGACTGGTTTAGGGTGGTCATATGCCTATGCTCGGGGCCCAAACAACCCCAGTCACTTCGCCCAAGTAGGCCTAGCCTGAACCCAGGCTTTTGGGCTTACGACTTCGGGGTCGGGTGTAGGTGGGATGTTTGGGACCCCTACTAGGATATGGGTTCTCTAAACTAAGGTTCCGTTTAACATCCTTTTGGATAGGGGTCCTGCCTTCCGTCGGGTCCATGACCCCACTGATGAAGGAATATACCTATTATGGATCCCCATATAAGTCTCAGAGTATATATGCCTCTTATTAAGGGGCTTTGCAGCCTTTCGACTGTCGGACTATCTACACCATCTTGGCTTTAGCAGTAGACTAGGTAACCTTGTACCTTTTCGGAGCCTACGATACTCGACAAGTAAGAAACTATGACACCAACCCCTTTAGAGCAACCCCGTTTTTTCTAGCGCCCTTTCCCTAAACCCTAAACCCTAAACCTTTAAGGAGCCCCAGTCCGATAATGTTCTTACCCATTGGCTCCATAGTAGTTCCTTTTTTGGGTTTCCCTTATAGGATCCTAAATATAAACCACAAAAAGGAACTACTATGGAGACAAGGGAGCCTATGGGTAAGGCTCCTATATTGGTTAACCTTAAGTTAAGTTCCGAAGGATACTTTCAGAGGCCCTTTAAGGAACCCCAGTTTCATTCCCCAGGATACTGAACAGCTAAGCACGTCTCTTCAGAGCTTCGGGCTCTGGGTCCGGGATTTGAAGTCCCAGGTCGCTCTCGTCTCCGAAAGCATTTGGGGGTTGATCAGAACTGCGGGGCCATTGTTGGTCCCCTAGATTAAGGAAGACACTATAATATAGACCCCCAAACGGCCCATACTTTTGATCAACCCCCATATGGGTAGCTCTCTAAGCTAGGGTCCCTTTTTGGACGTCTGAAGCTATAATATATACAAAGACATTTATCTATCTACCTGCCTGACTGCCTACCTACCTTCCCGCCTTCCTACCTTCTTACCTTCCTACCTTCCTGCCTACCTTCCTTCCTTCCTTCCTCCCTTCCTGCCTTCCTTCCTATGTATATCTATATCTACCTACCTGCCAACCCATCTACCTACGTATTTTGAGCAAGTATGAACGTATGTACGTACGTAAGTATGCACGCATGTATGTATGTGTATGTATGCACGCATGCACACACATAGGTAAATAGGTATGTATGTAATTATGTATCTATGCGTCTATGTCCGATATGACCACCGCAATGGCATTTAAACGGTGTGGCGAGTCAATTTAAGAGGAATGAGGGGCACGAACACTCAACCCGAACGGCTCCAGACCACCAGGCCCTCTCCGCCTCGGACACGGCATCGCGGTTTTTGCTGCAGAAAGGCATCTCCATGTCAACCCCTGCAGCGTAGAGGCCTTGGCTCAACGCTGCAGGCCGCAGACTCGTGGGGTTCAGGGTCCATGTAGGTGTCTCCGGGACTTTCGAGGGTTACAGTACAGTTTTGGTGGCTGAGATCGTCGGGTCCTTGGTGCAACTTTTGCACAACCGGAGGGAGTTGAGTCAGTCGGCGGAAAGATTTGAAATTGCGAGCCGGGCGGCTGTTACTCCTCATGAAGCCTGGAGCGGCAAAGAAAAAAGGGCTGGACGTCCCGGAGTCAAAGAGGATCCGACCGCTGGTGATGCCTCGTAACGAGCGCGTTGATCATGGAAGGGTTTAGTAAGGTTTTAGGGTGTAGGGTGGCTCACAAGGCGACATAGTGTAAGGTTTCTACTGGGATCTTCGTGAGTGTCTTGCGAACATTGTTAGGCAGAGTATACTTGGGTTGTTTATTAAGTGAGGTGCTAAGTTACTAGCAATAGCAAGCATGTCCCCCACAAATTACATGGAGCCTCGAGTAACACCCGTCTAAAAAGGACAACAATCCAGAGCTTGCAGTTCCAAGTATAAAACATGTTTGAGGAAGCAAGGCTACAATAAACCTCAGGCCCTACACCCTAAACCCCAATCCCCGAAAAGACAGCTCCAAAGCTGGAATCACAGCTTTCGCCTGTGCAAGCCCCACCTCCAACCCTAGCCAAGAACCCCTGTAACAGAGCTAGGGTTTACAGCTTGTAGGGTTCAAGGTCCGCTGACTCAAGGGTGTTAAGAAGAGGGCTTTGAGGCATTGCATCATGCAGCAATGTACACGTAGTTTGTGAGGCTCCAATGTTGGCAGTTACACCTGAAACCGCCTTCCCTCCTACAGCTCTGCATCCAGGAAACCTTGCATAAACTATCCTAGCCGCAAAAAACACCTCGAAAAACTGCACCCCGCAGATCCAAACCCTCAGCTCAAAATTCTAAACTCTAAGCTCGACAGCCTACCTTGAACTACCAACACACACTTTATTGTAGGGTCCCTACAAATTCCGTATTAATAGGACTAATCAAACGAACCTACAAAAACTATGTTATGGTAGTTTGCGGTAGACTCCAAAACATGAAGACCCACCCAAGCTTTCACTAAAGCCCTGTTCGAAACCTGTATCGTTCAAACACATCTTCTTCACAGCCGGCTCTTGCTGATGCTGCGGCCCCTCACTTTCAAAAACCCGTGGGGTTGAACTCTTCATCAAATTTCTTCAGCACCTCTGGCACATCGCTAGCAAGCATCAGCGGCATGAGCCAGTGCTCCTGCAGAGACTCCTTCACCACCAAGTACCGCCCGGCCAGGGGGAGAAAACAAATCCACCTATTTGCTTGACCGCTATATATGTTACTCGTTTTGCCCTTCTCGTTTTGCAGTGAAATCCATGTTATCTTTGTTTTTACTCTTGTCGATTCACATTTTCAAACAACAGAAGGCAAAAACAACACAAACGGTTACACATCTGAACAAATCCGAAACCCTGGGCCCTACACCGATAAATGGTAATTAGATGATTTTATATGATTTCCCCAGTCGGATAAAGCCCCCATGAAGCCGTGTCAAGCCCTGATACTACCCTCAAAAAGCCTCCAGAACATGTAAAACCCTCCAATTCCTTGTAACTGTAACGCTCTTTGAAATTGCAAAAAACCTACAACAACTTGACTTTCTAACCCGGAAACTTTAGTTTGAAACACAGAAACCTTGAAACCCTAAAACCCCCACCCCTAAACTCTAAACAACAAACCCACAAAGCCAGAACCCCTCAACCCGAAACTTCCTATAGAGAACTCACGGCAAGTAGATTCCGACCTTCCCAGGAAGCGAACCAGTCCTCAGCGTCTGAGGGTTCTTGACCGACGGTTGCGGACCCTTTTCATCTCTGTGCCCGCTTGCCTGCGGTTTGCATGAAGGTGAAACGAACACGCATGACCCCAAGTCGACGTATATACAAACATCCTCGTGGATGGCTTCATGACATTACGCTCGATCTCCATCTCCGGGTCCCGACGACGTACCAGGCGAGTCATCTGCCTGCTTGCATAACGGCATTTCCGTACACCCCAGAAAGGTCCTCCGCCAGCCCCTAAGCCGCTGCTCCAAAACCATCACGGAATTCCACTCCAGGCGCTTCTGCAGCCTCCACTTCATCGTCCCGGCTTGCCACCTCCACATCCTCCTGGGCAGCCACGTCCTCCGTCTCGTGGACCTCCTGCCATGCGTGTTCCAGATCCTCCAGGCCTCCTGTTTCTTTGGCGTCTTCCTCGTCACCATCCCCGCTCCATCGTGAAGCTTCTTCCCTAGCTGGCGACCACTCGTCCATACCATGATCCACTCTTGCACTCTGCTCGTCGTGTTTGCACTCGTATATACGACCACGCCCCATGCCATGATTCTACGCTTCGAGCAGCAACAGTGTTGGCCTCCTGTCCGTGCACCATTTCCAAGACCCGCATGGCCGCCGCCATAGCATCCGCCTCGAACCCACTACCCGCGCAATGGGCCCCAGCCCCATACGTTGTCGCCCCATTAGCTCTTGCAGAAACCTAAATATGGAGATGCAGGAACAAGGAGTCCAAGATAAACTTCCTTGAGATGCTCTTCATCTTCGTGGCATGGACGAGATCTGCACAGTTTTCATCATGACCACGGAGATTTGTCTGAGGTGGCAGAAAGCCAAATAATTATTGTAGCATGACCAGTTGCTGTGAGCCTGGCTTCAGTTCACGGTATGTGTGATCTCAGCAGGAAAAATCATGAGGGCGACACACATAGTTCGAAGCCCAGCTTACACTGTGCTCGGCTAGGAGTATGAGTGGCTTATATCAGTAATTACCACACACCAATCACAACGCAAAAAAGGTGGAAACTTGCACCGTGCCAAGGGGCATGGTCGCTGCGTTGATGTGACGTCCGCCTTTTAAGGTTTTGGGTTCCGCAAGCCATGAAGTCCTAAACAGCTTATTCACGGGCCTTGTTGAAGCTAAACCGGCAATCTTCGCCTCCAAAGACTTTCCCACACGCTTCGTCTGCCCTCATACACCCTGCAGTCGATGTGGTCATCCTACGGGTGATTGACCCCTGAGACCAACCTATCACGCCGAGACACATCCAAAAAATTACCACGAAGATGGAAAATGCACAGAAAAACAGAACAACGAACGCCTCGTCGATCCACTTAAGACACTGTGGGTTTGCCGAGTGGCATACCATCGCGACGTGTTGTCATCTGAGACTTAAAGAAGTAAAGCCCTCAGGCCCGTAAAGTCCCTAGGAACCCAATAACGCCGTCAAACCCCGAAGTCCCATAGAAAACCACCCCCCAAGCCAGAATCCTAAAGATCGATGTACCTTGCAGGAATGAATCAGACCCTTTCAAGTCGGGGAAGCTTTGAACTGCCACTGCAGATCGTTGAAGCCGTATTCACGACATGTCATGCTGGGCTTCGACAAACCGTATTGCAAACGGAGGCGGCGAAGCGCGGAAGCAAAAAGAGAAAGGAACCGCGGAGCTTTTCCTGGGTCACCACCTCGTGCTCTTCCAACATGCCTGTACGGACAATACCTGGGAACCTCGAGCACATTCGTGGTTCTCAAAGACCGTACCCAAGAAAGCGCTTTCAAAGGCTGATGACCACGGAAACGGCTTCAGCATGAAGCGGGCTTGAGAACGGAGGTGCATCCAACTGGGTCGTTTGCGAGCTGCCCGCTCCCATGGAGCTGGATCCAGCGGACTTGGCCATGCTGGCTCGGAAGGACTAAGCTCAACGTGCTGAAGCTAAATAGTGACACCTGGAGATTCGGCAGATGTGCACATGGGCTTCCGCCGTGTGTTGACGGGGTCATGGGAACCAGCTGATCACCACCACTCATTCGACCCACGACTGCCACTGCAAAACTCAAACGACTGCCTCTCGAGTGTAATCGCACTTCGTCATCATTATCGCCAGCACTACCGCCAGAATGGCAGGTTGGCTCTGCGGCCCATACCTGCCACGCAATCAGCCTGGCTTTCTCCAAACTCATGATTTTGCATAGCAATGTCTGCATCCAGTGCAAGGGGGGTGGCCAGCGGTAATGCCTTTGGCCTTGGGCTGCTGTACCAAGATTTTCGGCAAAGCTCGTGGCAAGGAGATGTCAGGCTGCAAAGCACTGCCCTCAGTATCAGGTACAATGTAGCTAGCCACCACTGAAACAAGAATCAGCGTCCAGGGCCACATGGCATTCAAGCCACGGCAGGATTTCAAATGCTGTCGTGCGGCGCAAATGCTAAAAAGACTTGAGCCATCACTTGAGCCGTAGCCTCGTATTCGGCTTTAGGGTTAGGGTCTAGGAGGGGCGGTTAAGGCTTTATGGGATAAGGGGGGTTTAGGGTTCAGGATTTCACGGAGGCATAAGGTGTGGGGGGGGGGGAGTTACGGTTAAAGGGTGGTCTTGGATGGTTGAATAAGGCTTGCGGGATTCAAGCGGCTTTAAGGCTTTTTCTGTGAAGTGTTAAAGGGATGTGGGAGGGACGGGTGTTTAGGTGTAAGGGGTCTGGGGCTTTGAGCTTCGAAACAATTCAGGTGTGCTATCTCCCTGCAGGCACCATGCATTTGGAGCTGTTCAGAGTTTAAAACCCTACGGCTTGCAGGCTTCAAACCCTAAACCCTAAACCCAAGGGGTCAGGATCAGGATCCGATTGGTAAGGCTTCTCGATTGGGGTACCCCTATATTCTGGCACGCCGATATTCTCTTCACACCAGGGCTGCTTTCAACGAAAAGACACGGGGTCTCTATAAACAGTCCTCCACCACGACTCGCTTAAAGACAGTGATTGCCTTTTAAGACAATTGTCTTCCTTTGCCAGGCCAGGCGCCTACTTCGAGGTTACATCGACTATGCTGCGCCGTCTCGGAACAGCCCGCAATCTCCAGGAAACATATGGGGGGTTCCGAAAATAGGGGACCCTAATATAGCACCCTAAATAATAGGATCCTGATTAAAAGGACCCCCAAATAAGGTACCCTAATTTGAAGGAAACACCCATATCGACATTGCATGCGTGCAACTAAAAGCCCGAACCAACTGCCAAGCCACATAAAGTTTTGCTAGGTTTACCTATAACTCTCTTTACCTATAGCAGCCGTTTTAATTAGATACCCCTTAATTAGTACGTAGAACCCGTAAAACTGTATGCAATTGGAGTCCCAGGTAGGGCTTAGGGTTTAGGCACACCCTGATAAACCCGGCTGAACCGGAACAAGCCCTCCATTCGACACCCGTGAGACTACTCTTCAAGCTTTAGGAAGGAAGGCAGAAAGGATCCCCAACAGAAGCCCTAGACTAAATTTTTAAACCGAAACCCCAAACCCCATAGACCTTCACTCCTAAACCTAAACCCTAAACCCTAAACTTAAACCCTAAACCCTAAAACCCTAATTCCTAAACCCTAAAACCCTAATTCCTAAACCCTAGACCCTAAAACCCTAAACCCTAAATCCTGAACCCTAAAACCCTAGTTCCTAAACCNNACCCTAAACCCTAAACCCATGAATTCTACTCCCAGGCTCGGTCATGATGCTTCCATCGAAGCCGAGCTGATTTCTGAGGAGGTCGATGAACTTCGGGTGGGCGAAGGCCCATTCTCCCTGTACCCTGGCACCAGAGGGCTGTGTTCCAGAGAGCCCGATATCCCTTAACAGCAGAATCTGTTTAGGGTTTAGGGTGTTAGCGTTT